TGGGTTTCACCATGTTGGCCAGGCTGGTCTTGAACTTCTGACCTCAGGTGACCCAACCACCTCAACCTCCTAAAGTGCTGGGATTACAGGCATTAGCCACGACGCACAGCCAAAGTTATGGTAATTTGTTACAGCAGCAACAAGAAATGAAAATAGAGATGGAGTAAATAGTTCAATTGCATGAAATTAAAAAAAAAGTCCAGATCCAAAAAAAAAAAAGTTTGAGAATTTCCTATCTGATAAAAGCAATTTTGTGCGCACATGCGCACACGTTTGTGTGTGTGTGTGTGTGTGTGTGTGTGTGTGTTCATTCCATAAGGTGGTATTAGGACAACTGGACAGTTATTTAAAACAAAAAAATAAATAAAGCTGCATCTCTATCCCCTTACACCAAAATTATTTCCCAGATAGCAGCAGAAGACCCATTAGCAATCCTGAGATCAGGATCATGGATTTTTAAGTATTTTAAACATACAACTAAAAGTACTAGAAGAAAATACTGAATTTCTTTTTAGATTGTGAAAAATACAAAACCCAGAATGATAAGGAAGAGGTGGATTATAGTAGTAATAACTCTCAGTCAGTGCAATCAGTAGTAATAACTCTCAGTGAGTGCAATCAGTAGTCAATTTGGCAGCATTTATCAAAGTTAAACATGGCCATACACTTCAACCCAGCAATTGGATTTCCAGAAATTTGTCTTAAAGAAATGTTTTATTATGCGTATGAAATTTTATGATGAAAATGTTCTTTGGAGTATTATTTGTAACAGCAAAGTACTAGAAACAGCCCAATGCCTACTAAATAGAGAAAGTTAAACACATTATGGCTCAACCCTTAGAATGACACGTATCTATATGTTTTGTTAAGGAATCATTTCCACACACATTTGTAAGTGAAATATGGTATGATTCCTTGTGTGTAGGGAAAAGAGCTATATGCTTAGCTTATATATTCAGAGAAAATTCTGGAAGTGTACACAAGAACTGTCAATAGTGCCTACCTTTTGAGAGAGGGACTGAGAGTAGGAGGAAGTCTTAGATTTTTAAATTTTTACATTTTTGGTAGATTTCCTGATATCAGGATTGCTAATGGGGCTTCTGCTATTCAGCAAGAAAGGAAGAAAAGGAAAGAATTGCTGAAAATAAAGAAGGATCTCTCCTTCTTTATTTTCATGCTGACATGGTGACAAATCTGGGTCAACTGCCTCAGAGGTATATGGTGTAGGATTTTTAATTTTTTTAAGTATATTTAACACAGCTCTGTGATTAAAGGAAGCCCAAGCCACAGAATCCTGAACTTATTAGAAACATGTGTGACACCTCTTTAAATATTTAAATTATTTAAATTTGCTTATTTTTGCTTTTAAGTTATGCATGAAGATTCCAGGCAGGTAAAAAGATGAAATTCTCCCTTAATTGACTAGCTAAGGCAGACAGTGTATCTAACTAAGGTTTCCTGTCGGGGACCAGGTTAGGATTCACATTTGACCAAAAGCCTAAATACCTTGTATGTCCCACCAGCATAGGGAGCAAAATCAAATCACTTTAAGTCATGTGCTTTTTGAAGTTAAAATTCATACCACTCTGAGCTCTACCTAGCACGTAGAGACCAACTTTCCCGTGAGGTTCTTCTCCCTAGATATCCCCAGTGATCCCAGGGTTACTCATTTCTTCCAAATGGGTCCTCTCCAGTTACTGACAGTGGGTGGCTGGTGAGTCAGCCACAGTGCCTAGTCAAAGCTGCTTCTCCACTGCTGCTGCCTGGGGTCACTGCCAAGGCCCATACAGGCAAGAACAAATCCCTGTTCCCTTCTGGCTGTAGCTACCCAGGGTTAAGAGAGGTCCCACCATCGACCACACAGTGCAAAAAGGCCAGTCCTTGCCTGCCAACATTCTCCAAGTGTGGATATAACCTTTGCTCTTATTCTCCCAAAGCAGTCAAGGGCAGGGTGCAGACAAGGAAAAAAATCAGTCAATAGTAGTGTCTGCCAATATCCAGTAATGTTTGAGGCCACTTTTAAATGAAAAAAAAAAAAAAAATTCTTGCTAACTGCCAACTGTTAAGCCATTTTAATTATGTCTCTTAATTATGTAAACTTTAGGTAATAATTTCTTATTCTTATAGTTCACATCTATGAAACTAAAACAATTTTAGAAATTAAATTCACAAAATTAAAAAGTTCAATTAATATTATGTCTGTAATGTGGTGAATAATATTTGTTGTTTTGCTGAAATTAAATTGTCCTTTGATATGAGAATATGGAACTCACTGCCATGGCATGTGCTTTTTTGCTTGGCATGCTTATAATTGACTTAATTATCCCAACATTCTTCTCTATTTGAATTTCTGTTAAACTTTTGTGCAGTGTACCGAAAGGATGCATGACCTTCACTTAGCCAGAATGCTGTCCTTTCCACAAGAAGTATTCCATTCTTTTCCCATTAACCCCAGAAAATTAAATCTGTGGTTGGTGCCAAATACAAAATCAAGTGCGTGTTTTGTTACAAGGTGGTCATCAAATGATCCAGCATAGGAACTAGAATATATGAACTTTAAAAAGAACATAATTTAAATAAGAGCAAAATATTTACATATTTTTTTAGAGAATTTGCAGATAAATTTTCTTAGACTCCACTTTAAGAAACAGTAGTTTACACCCTTGCTCCTGCAGGGTGGTCCAAAAGCCAGGGAACTTATTAGAAAGAGTCTCTAGGCCAGGTGCAGTGGCTCACTCCTGTGATCCTAGCACTTTGGGAGGCCAAGACAGGAAGACTGCTTGAGGCCAAGAGTGTTCAAGACAATCCTGGGCAACATAGCGAGACCTGTCTCTACAAAAAAAAAGAAAAAAGAAATGCAGAGTCTCAGGGCCCACTCTGGACCTAATGGATTAGAACTTGCCATTTAATAAGAGCCCAGGTGATCAGCATGTCCATTAAAGTGTGAGATGTACTATTTTATTATTTCCCAATTCAATTTTCTTTTTTTTTTTGAGATGGAGTTTCGCTCTTGTTGCCCAGGCTGGAGTGCAATGGCACGCTCTCGGCTCACTGCAACCTCCGCCTCCCAGGTTCAAGCCATTCTTCTGCCTCAGCCTCCCAAGTAGCTGGGATTACAAGCATGAGCCACCGCACCTGGCTAATTTTTTGCATTTTTAGTAGAGACAGGTTTCCCATGCTGGTCAGGCTGGTCTCGAACTCCGAACCTCAGGTGATCTGCCTGCCTTGGCCTCCCAAAGTGCTGGGATTACAGGCGTGAACCACCGTGCCCCGCCCCCAATTCAATTTTCAATCGGCCCATGTGAGGCTGGGGCACAGTTCAAAGCTCTCTCTCTGTTTTTAAGGACAATTATTGATTCTTCTCTTTCCAGGGTTGCAGGCAGGGAGATCCAAGGTGAACTCAGATTTTTCTAGGAATAATGGTGAGTACTGGTACTTCAAAGGGTCCATTCTGGTGACTTGTAGGTGATGTTCCACTCAGGAACTTTTGTGTCTTGCTTCACACCAGACACAAGACTACATATAAGCCAGGCGGCTTGCACCTGTAATCCCAGCTACTCTGAAGGTTAAGGCAAGATGATCTCTTGAGCCCAGGAGTTGGAGACCAGCCTGGACAACATAGCGGGACAACATAGTGACCTTGTTTCAAAACAAAAATTACATATTGTAGCCAGGTGCGGTGGCTCACGTCTGTAATCCCAGCACTTTGGGAGGCGAAGGCTGGCGGATCACCTGAGGTCAGGAGTTCGAGACCAGCCTGACCAACATGGAGAAACCCCCATCTCTACTAAAAACACCCAAAATTAGCCAGGCGTGGTGGCTCATGCCTATAATCCCAGCTACTTGGAAGGCTGAGGCAGGAAAATCGCTTGCACCTGGGAGGTGGAGATTGCAGTGAGCCGACATCGCACCCTTGCACTCCAGCCTGGGCAACAACAGCGAAACTCCATCTCAAAAAAAAAAGAAAAATTACATACTGTATGATTCCATTTATATGAAACATTCAGACAATTTCTGATGGAAGTCTCATATGATCTTTGGTTGGAGGATGACTGGATGCTGGCAGATGACAATGAGGTGAAGAGCATTTTCCAGAGGAACGCCATGATCAAAGACAAAATGGAGAGTCAGAGGCAGGAATGGATATTTAAGGAAGAATGGATGAGCACTGGCTACAACAGATCTGGGAAGAAAATTAAGTGAAGGAAGTACAGTAGGAAACATGGATTGACAAGTTGTCTTTTTCAAATGGAAAAACTAACAGGTGTGAGGGAGAAGACAGTCAATAGGAATTGCCATCTTTTCCAGATTTGATCAAATTCCCCTGATTTGTAGTCATTTTGTTGGCTTGGAGGGAAAGCGGTCTTTATAAAGGTCAGCTCTGATAGGATGCTCAAGCTAAGAGCAAAGAAGGATAAAGCAGGCGCTTGGCGACACAAAAGGGCGCTTACCAAAACTGGGCAAAAAGTTAGTGTGGTGGGCCCCAAATCCCTTTACCCATTCAGCTGAGGTCACCTGCCAGTAGGCAACTGTTCTATTACCAATAAGTTTGTATCACCAATAAAACATTCTAACGCACCTGGCTAAAAACCCTGGCGTGATAACACCAAATTCATGTTATTGGAATGAATTAAATTTTAAAAAGCACACCACTGTTCCAGGCACACAGAAGTCACCTCCAAACGTTGTTTTATAAACGAAGATTGGCTGCAGAGGCTTTGTTTTGGAGCCTATGTTTAGGAGGGGAAATGATTCAAAACTGCCCCCAAAACCTATATCCTCTATGAGCACTGAGGTTGGGGCGACTTGGTGCCAAGAGGTCTAGTTTTCCCCTTTAACAAAGGCTTCTGGTTCCACCATCAGGTCCCTCAGGTCAGTGGGTGCAGCAGGGGTCGCAGGCCAAGCAACCAATCGCAACGCGGCTGCGGGGCGGGGACCCGGCGCTCCGCCTTTCCCTCCTGTCCGCCCTCCCAATCCTCCTAGGCCGGCCTCTCTCGCACCTGCTTGTCCCTCTGCGCTCCCACTGTTGCGACTTCTCCTTGTGCTAGCGGGGAAGGGTTTTTGGCCTCGCCTCTCGCGAGATCGTCGCTGTTGCTGCTGCTGCTGCCGCTGCCGCTGCCGCTGCCGCTCCTGGAAGCTGACTGCGGCGCTTGCGCAGCCGCCATGTTCGGTTGCTATGCTGCGGCCTAGGAGAGGGGGTGTGCTTGAGGGAGGAGGAAGAGACAGGGGGAGGAGGGGGAGGAAGAGGAGGTGGAGAAGGAGGGGGGCGACTGAGCTTCTCTTGCACTCTCACACACAAACGCTGCCCAGGATTACCCGCTCGCTCACGCCGTGCAGCGCGCTTTTCCGCTCCTCGCGCGCCACCACCAACATTGTTCTCTCAGGACTCCTGGGTCCCAGGGGCCGGAATTGGGCCTGAGCCGGGGAGAAAGAGACTTGGCTTTGGCCGAGGGGTCGAAGGACTGGGGCCAGGCCCCCTCCCCCACGCACTTTTAGGGGTGTGGATTATCTCATCCCCGCAGGGAGGTAGGCGAGGGCGCAGGCTGCCCGCCCCTCTGCCACCTCCCTGGCGGCGCCGGCCCGCGGCTGCCCAGCAGCATGAGGTGGTGCTGGCGGCTCCCGGTCGTGGCGCGACCGCTGCGGCGGCGGCTGCTCGGGGGGCACTGAGGTAGCCCCCCGGAGCGGCACGGCGGACGCGGTTTCCCCGGCACGTCGGGGCCTCGAGGCTTTTTATCTCCAGCCGAGAGGACGCGGCTGTGATATACGAAGGTAAGAGGTTCTCCGGTCCCCGCCGGCCTCTCGGCCCTGCACGTTGAACGCGAGGATCTTACCGGCATGTGTGGCTCCTGGGAGGTGAGCCAGTTAGGGCAAGTCAGAGATACGAGAATGATTTAAAAGGAAGGAAAAAAAAAAAAGACGCTTTCTTACTGGGACCTCTGCTCCTGGGGCTCTCTGGGGTTATAGTTGGCATCTCTGTTATGGTTCAGCGAAGGGACAAGGGATGGAATATAGATGCGGAGATGGAATGTTCCCCGGCACCTAAACTCTAGGTAAAGCTTTGGAATTTTGAGTTTTCCATTGCTGGTAGAATTCCCTTTTTAAAAAAAATTGGCTCATATGAGCGCTTCTCGCACGCTGCATAAGCCACCTATTCCTACCATTGAAGTTTTAAGCCTGTTATGATTCTACCAGTATATACCTGTATTTGGGAATCTGTAGTTGAGCCAAAAAAAAAAAAAAAAAAGTTGAGATGTAGGTAAATGCCTAAGCATTTCGCAGGGTTTCCATAAAATGGAACAGCTTACAGTTGCACAGGTTGTGTGTGGATATTTCTGCACAACTTAGGATGGAAGATTTTATGTCTGGGCTTGCATCATTTGGTGACATCAGTGTGTACAAGGACGATTTGTAGGATTTTTCGAAACGCTTGTTCTAGGATAACTTGTTATACATCTGCAATATGCCAGCTGCTTTTCGAATAAGAGATTTCAGTAATAATAAGTTTCTGTGTCCAGATCTTGGGCTCAGTTGAAACAGTACAGCTGATTGGCCACATTTAAAACATTTATGGAGAAAGATAAAAACAAAAGGCCCATGTATCCGACTTGTAAAAGACAATTAGAGTAAAAAGAAGACAGTAACAGTAAAAGCCAGGATATTTTTAAATCTTGGTTTTCTGAACTTTAATGTACCAGAGTAAAAAAAAAAATTTTTTTTCAATTTTAAGGGGGAAGGAGATGGCCTTAAAATAAAGAATTGTTCAGAGCCTAAGTGTGCTTAATGGAATAGAGGTAGATATATTATTTAAATCTTGAATTTGATTAGTATAAATTCAGCTTTCTTTTAAAGAAAACTCGTAAGCAAAAGTTTGTGTGTTGTAGAGAACCTTTTTACGAACTTCTAAATGTGATCATTTTGTGGACATCACCATTTTTTTGTCAGAATAAATTTACGCTCCAATTACCACAAAAGCAATTTTTATGTCTTCTCATTTTTTGTGGTACACCTATCTTTGTTACATTTTGGATTGAAATACACACGATCCATAATATGATCTTGAGTGATTTATAAGAGAAACAGTCTTTTTTGTACATGGGAATGATTGTGATTTTGCTAGTCTTTTTTAAAAATTTGGCAGGAGATTTCCAAAATCTAAGGAGTCATCACTATTTTGTAGTTTTTAAAAATATTAAGTGAGTAGGTTCACGTTTATTAAGTTAGAAAATCACAAGTTCCTCAAAAGTAGTAATAGATGAGGATATGATTTTCTTACTGCCTATTTTCTAACATCTTCGCTTCAGAGCTGTATATATTGAATTGAGTCAAACTTGTGTTTTTTTCTGATGTTCTAATTAAAGATCTTTAAAAATGACCCTAGTAACATTGTTACTTTAAATTTATAACACCCAATTTCTAATTTAGGCTAGGCATAAAACCAGCATTGATTGAACATACTTGCTAAAAATACTTTCTGGGTCGGATGTACTTAGAATGCAGCCTCAGGAAAATTCATTTGAACTATTCTACTGTGACCAGTGTACACTTCATTATTGTTGAAGGACTTTAAAAAAATTATAGATCTCATATATTCGATTTAATCAGTTTGGGCATACATGCCTAACTTTTAAAAAAAAGTATAACAGAGATAGTATTACAAACTTTTCAGCTGTTTTTTTTTTTTTTTTTACTTGTATGACTTCCTTAGATTGTTATTAAACTGTGATTTGTATTTTTTTAAAAATAGTTTTTTCTATTAAACATAATTGAGATATAAAGAACAATATCCATTGTTATCTGTTTAGTATTTATGACTTAAAACTCTAAAAGCGGCATCAGTGATCATGGCTTTTAGAAAGTTGTCTTTAAAGGAGCAAAGTAAGAGACTACCAGATAATTGCAAGGAGGTTGGTTATTGAGAGTACTTTTGCCCATGCTTGAGAGTTAATATGGTCACTTTTAAAGAAGAAAACTTTTCTAAAAATATGTGGAAATCTTGTTTGGTGTATGTTTAAAGACAAATGTTTAAAAGTTCTGCCTGAATTCTTTGTTAGAATACAAAATTGATCAACTCACTAGGAATGAATGGTTAGTGACTTACTGTGGCTAAATACGAATTGTTGCTCCTATATAAAATTTAGTTATTGATAGAAATTTATGAGCTGAGTTGAATTTTGTTGTTTATCTGGGTTATTGCATGTTATGAAGTTTTTTATATACTACAGTCCAGATTTGCTGAATTTGCCAGTTTACTAGAATAACCTGTGAAGCCTTGAAGATTGGCTTAGCATTCTGAAAATCCTTTTTATTGTTTGCCAGGGAAGTACTATAGGAAGGAGGTGTTATTATCTCTTCATTTAATATTTAATCAGTAGAACAGATGGTGAGATGGGATATAATGTAGAAATGCCATAGGATATTCCGTATTGATAAGAAAGTACCATTGTTTAGGAACAGCATAATTTCTTATCTTTTGCATGAATGGAGAAAAAGAGGAGGGGAAATTTATTAGACTCTCTTTTATTTCATTATAGGCATTTTCCCTCACATTCATTCTTCATTTCATTATTCCTAAGTAGAAACATTGGAAGAGAGATGCAGGTATTTGAAGAAATTAGTAAGAACAAAATGAAAATTACATCCTGTAGACTATCTTGAAGAGAAGATACCAATTTGGGTTGGTTACTGTGTTTGTATCTTTTAACAAGGAATATATAGAGAGTAGTAGAAAGAAAAAAGGATCCAGAAGGGAAGAGTGTTAGTATTTGCTTGTTAAGTGCCAGACACTGTATAAGGGATTTTTCATGTTATCCCACTCACCAAGTACACTTTATGGGGCAGGTATTATTAATCCCCTGTCCTCTCCCTGCCAAGTAGAAGCTAAGGGAAATGAAATAACTTGTCCAGGCTCATACTTCTAGTAATTGTAATTCTCTAAAACTTATTCTTTAGATTGGTTCTGTCCAATTAAACTTTCTGCAGTGATGGAAATACTCTCTTTTCCTTCAACTTTATTGAAGTATAATTGACAAATATTGATAGAAATTTTTTTTTGCACTGTTAGATGTGGTAGCCATTAACCATGTGTGGCTATGGAGCACTTAAAAGGTGATGAGCATGTCTGAGAAACTAAATTTAAAATTGTATTTAATTAGGCCAGGCGTGGTGGCTCACGCCTATAATCCCAGCACTTTAGGAGGCCGAGGCCGGTGGATCACGAGGTCAAGAGATCAAGACCATCCTGGGCAACAAGGTGAAACCCCGTCTCTACTAAAAATACAAAAATTAGCTGGGCATGGTGGCGCACGCCTGTAGTCCCAGCTACTCGGGAGGCTGAGGCAGGAGAATTGCTTGAACCCAGGAGGCGGAGGTTGCAGTGAGCTGAGATCGTGCCGTTGCATTCCAGTCTGGGTAACGAGTGAAACTCCGACTCAAAAAAAAAAAATTGTATTTAATTTTAATCAATTTAAATTTATAGCCAGATGTAGCTATAGTATTGGACAACATAACTGTAGGTCTTGCTGCTTAGAAAATCTGAGTTCTGGTATTTAAGCTTTCACTAGCTTATTTATATATGGCATTAGGCAAGTTACTTAGTTCTGGACTTCAATTTAAGCTGGTGTGCAAATGAAAGGGTTGCCACTAACAGATTATCTCCAAGGTTCCTTCTTGCTCTAAAGTTCTGTGATTCTTATTAAAATGTACAGCAGCATTTAATATTCACAAGCATTATATCTAAAAGGATCCTCTCCCCAATATGCTCACCCATTACCTAAGGATTCTTGTTTAGTCAGTTCCTCTTTTTGAGAAGAGTATGTGTAAAGCACACATAAAGGATAATAAGATTATTCCCCACCTCCCCCAATTGTTTGGCAAAAACATTGTGTAACTCAAGGCCGTACTTTATGTTGGAACAAAGATTAAATCTTTAAAGGCCATATTTTAACATGCCACCTTCCCTTTTTAAAATATATAGGAGTTCCTTGGTGCTTATCAAGTTCATTCCAAATTTACCTGTTTGGCCTTGAAGACTTTCCACCAACTTCATCTCATTAACCTTGTTTCTCATTCTTGCTTAAAAAGGAAGAAAATATTCTTGTTTTTTCCTTTGTCCTTGTTTCTTTAATTTAAAATCTCCATCTCCATCCATGTGCGTCCTCTTTAAACCTTTTTCAAAATTCACCTGTTTTTGGAAGATTGCTGCTTAATTCACTCACAGGATCAGTTAATGAACCCTGGTAATAAATACCCTTAGGTAATTATATACTTGTTTAGATATAATTCTTCTTAAGCTTTTTTTTCCTTCTTAAGTTTTATGTTACTCCTCTGTTTCCTTAATTTTCTTAGGTAAAAAAATTAAAATAGGAATTGTTTCTTTTGTATTGCCTCATAAATTTCGTCAGTTTTTCAGCAATGCACTTTTAAAAAGTTGCTAATTTTAAAAAAAGATAAATACTGTGACAACATTTACCCTTGATACTGTAGTAGATATTTTTTGTTTCCTTCTAGGTAATTGTTTATTTTTTAAAATAAAGTTGTGTGATAGAGGTAGAATTTTGAGAGTAATGTATTGGGGACATTGTATATAGTAGAGGCTGTGAATGTAGGGAAAAGATCATAGACTTTGGAGTCAAATCTGGTGTGGAATCTAGCCTCAGAAACCTTGGGCAAATTATATAATTTCTGAGTCAGTTGGCCAGTTGGCCTTGAATTGTTGTGAGGATTAAGATTACATTATATGTAAGGATTACATTATATGTAAGGCATGTAGCAGTGTGCTTTAAATGGAAGAGATGATCAATAAGTGATAGCTGGTGTTATTTCTTCCATTTTCCTATTCCCATCTTTATGAATATTATTTATTTTAGCTACCCAAAGCCACCAAAGTCAATGAATATAATTTAAATGATTAGTTAACATTCAGGTGATATACTGTAACTTATTTAGACATTTACCTTTTGTTACCAGTTTTTTTGTTTATTTACTCAGTTTAAAACCCCCAGGACTGGGATAAGGTCAAGTGTCATGAATATTTATTTCTATGCCAGATCTCTCTCTTACAGAAGTATCTAGAGTGGGTGTTCTTGTTTTGGGGAAAAAAATGCTAATATAATTGTGTTTCATTGTTTTAGTTAATGTAATTTGAAATTTTTGGTTTATTTGGGGATGATGTA